TTCTATTTTAAACAAAGAGTTCTGCAGCTTAAGAGAATAAGAAAACTGCGGCAAAGATCTTCAAAGCCGCGTACTTCTCAGCTTGGCTCCGACACTTGTAAATGTGAGAGTCACAGAAATGTTCGAGTCTCAATCTGTATGCTTGTTCCTTTTTAGTTCATGTTGTACAATCTGTTCTTCAATGGGGTAAAGACCCTATCGTGGTAGTAAAAAGAGGAGAGGGTAGCAAATACAAAGCGACGCCGAAGAACGAATCAGTAGCCCCTGGAGAAAAGGAAATCACGCATAGATGCAAAAGATGACAAACGTTTTCATAGTTGACATTTCTATGCGTAAAATGATATTAGAAGTGGAATACTCTAAAAGCGTGATCTATGAAATAACTTATTTCATCCCGAAATGACCCTAAGACATTCATTTTGCTTTAAAGATACAAAAAATACAGGTTTATTAATATTTAACTCTTTGAAACAAAGAAATTAATTTTTAATTTTATAATTAACCGTAACTGAAAAAATTAACCGATAGCCGTAAAAGAGCCAAAATTTTAGCCGATAACCGTAAATGCTACCACCCCATTGAGACCCTCTAAAGCATCCTTTAATGAGCGACCGATATTTGCCCGTCAGAAGAGGCCAAAAAACTGGACAAAGGCCATAATGGTACTACAAGAGTAGCCATGGCTTTCTGTAGGCTCAGATAATGGATAACGCGAGCAACAAGAGAAACTGTGTGGGTTTTGTTTTTGTTGTGGGTTTTTCAGGCAGATCGCAGACAAGGTACAAAAAGTATCCGTGCAAGGGTTCATGCAAGAGAAAACCCTATGAAACCATTTGTGAGAACATCGTTTCTACGTACCAGACCCTCGTGTTTTCCCTCCCCGGATGTCCACTTTGTGACACCGACGACCGAAAACCCATTTATGACTGGGCTTGCCGTGCAGCCCAGTAATAATGACCTCCTACTTGTTCTATAACAATGAAAAGGTGCTTTCGCTCTTAATCGGCCCTTTTAAATTAGTGACCGAGCACGTGCGATCGGTCATTATTAAACAGCGCGGTCATCACACAGACCTCGAAGATCTAGCATTATCCTACATGTAACCATTTTCCAAGAAAAATGGTTTTACTCTTTCCCTTCACGCAGTGTGATCAATTTTTTTTCTTATCTCAGCCCCGAGGCAAAAATATAAAAAGACTGAGTGAGCTTATTGCACTCTCAGGTGCGAATATATATGAAAAGGAATTTCGCGTTTTCCCGGATGAAACACATTATCAAACGGCTTTCCTTCTCACAATAGAGCCAAAAATTTTTTTTTGTTATGATTAGATACCGCTATAAAAATTGCGCTTTTTATGACTTTAAAAATGTCGTTTTTTGTTGAGCCGAGGCCATATGTTAATTCTAAGCTATGTAAACAGTCGAGCTCTGCACACATTATACATTCATGGCAAGACAACAAAAAATTAGAATCCTAAGAAAGACATCATCTTAATTGGCGATAGTATTTATATTGATGTTTTTCATTTCTTGTACACTGCATGCATGTCCGTCAAAAGGCAACTTTTGAAACGGTATTTGATATCATGACTATAAGCTCATGCAATAACTTCCGCCCTTTTGGTTGATCATCCTTCTTTTCAATTTGTTCACGATCGAGAATCACCATAAGCTATTGGAACTATGTTTTTGAAACAGTGCTATTAATGTTGAAATAATTCCCATCTGCCTTGGCTGAAAATTATATCCAAACACCACGCTGTTCGTATAATTAACAGCGACTTGGAGTGACAGTGGGTTCAAACATCAATTTTCTGATAATATCAGTTTCTCGGCGTCCTGGCAGAAACGCAAACTCGAACGATCGTGCTGAACACTTGACCGTTAAACTAAACGTGCCGGGAAAGAATCGAAATTTTCTTAAAACGTTCAGTTTGAACAACTAAGATAACGTGGAGGAAAGAATTATTTTGCTTGGCATGCTACTTTTCACGGTTAACTTCTTATGTAAACTCTGGTACAGCTGCCCTCCGTGAATGTATTTGGCAGACAATGGACTCATCCCTCCTCGTCAATTGTGTTTTCAACGTCTTTCTGTCATACACCGCCACTATGTTAAACATTATAACAATTAGAGCACTGAGAAAAAACCTCATCGCTGCCAAAGAATTTAAAAACACTATTGCTGAGTTTGGCTGTTTCTGATCTTGGTGTTGGATTTCTGGTTCAACCTTTGTATGTTGTTTCTCTTGTGATGAAGTTAAAAGGCGTCCTTACGACCATTGCTTTTTTCACTCAGGAAGCTTTTCATTTTATGGGTATCATCCTTGGTTTTGCATCGTTCTTTGCTGTCACGGCGCTAACTGCGGACAGATTCTTAACCCTGCAGCTTCATCTCAGATATCAGGAACTTGTGACTTACAAGCGTGTTGTTTCTGTAGTGATGTCAATTTGGGCAATAAGTGTATTTTTTCCATACTTGATCAGTTTTACGGAGAAACAATGTACTTTGTTAAAGGTACACTTTCGCCGGTTTTGTTTATCCTTTCAGCATTCTTCTATTGCAAAATGTTTTTGGCCGTGAGACGGCACAGAAATCAAATGCAGGACTTACAACTACAACAACAAGAACAGAATGTGGAAGAAACGACAACCGCCGCAAAGCTGAGAAAATCGATGGTTGGTACGTTTTACGTTTATCTCGTGTTTCTTGCCTGTTATTTACCGTATATGTTGGTCAATATTGTCCGCACTGTAAAAAACAACTAGCCTTACCGACACCTTACGTTATTACGCCTTGACATTGGTCTTTCTTAATTCGTCTCTCAATCCTTTGGTTTATTGCTGGAAGATGAGACAAATTCGACCTGCCATCCGGGATATACTGCAGAATATCTTGCCAATCACGGATAAGGAAGGTCCTCGGAAGATCGAACGTTAATTTGAAACATTTCTTTCAAAAAGGGTTAAGTTTGGTTTCAGTGAAACGTTTCTGGGATAATCTCTTTATTAGCCATGGCAAATGTTACGGCCGTTCAAATATTTTACCTCAGTCGGGTAGGGATTCACTAATAGTATTTATTTTATTTATTTATCTCGTCTGTGCTCATGAGAGTTTGCAGGATGCTTTTGGATCTGATAACGAGGCAAACTTTCAAGCTAGTCTAAAATTTAGCTGGCGAGCTAAAGATTACATATAGGATATTACACGGTGGCGCGAAGATATGAATTTTATTTTCGAGTGGCAAAACAGTATTTTACGAACGAGCGCAGCGAGTGAGTAAAATATTGTTTTTTTCAACGAGAAAATAAAATTCATATCTTCAAAAGTTCGGCGCCGTGTAATGTTCTTTTTTTTCGCTTATACAGACAAAAAAGACATCGATAAAATAATAGATTTTTATTCGCCAAAAAGTAATTGTGACGGCTTAGATTTACAGTACAGGAATAAGACGTTGGTTACAATAATGACCTGAATAGGGCTCTACAATGACAAAATATAAGCAAAACTTTGAAAAATGTGTAAGTCAAATTCAAAAGACGCAAGACGCCAACAAATTTCGAAGGAAAATTACCGAAATTGCTATAAATGGTGTTTGTCCTTCATAATAGGCATTTATTTACCAAAAATCCAGGGACACCCAACGAGTATATAGTTCAAAACCACTTAAACATAGCATTGTTAAACGTATTTTAGTATTAAAACGGTAGATATAGGCATATTTTTATCCCCTAAAGATTTTTCATCTGTTCGGATATCCCAGCTGAAAGCGGTAGTGATTCGAAAATTACAGGGATCAAAACTTACCTATTCGAAAATTTCAGCCAGAAAAAAGGCCCCAGAAAATTTTAGGTGACCTTTTTAGGGTATAAATCCTTTAAAAATGGGCAATTATACCATTTTTTAGATGTTCGAAAATCCTAGGAGAGGCAGACAAGGAAGAAATTTTGGAAAAAATGTTCCGAAAATTCTAGATCTCAAATCGTCCTCCGAACAGATATTTTCCGAAAATTGTCGTTGGGTGCCCCTGAAAATCTAACAAAACTAGGTTAACAGCCAGAAGATATGCAGTTTTCAACAATGGTTGTATACAACATTCATTATATAATGTAATATAAATTTCCCATATTAAAGCCAGACTTTTCAAAATGTTTATGAAAATGTAGTCTAACCCCACATACAAGAACTTGTTGATTTTTCTTGGCTAAACTGGTTCTTATGTTTTGCAGTAATAAAATGACAAATTTTTGCTAGCAGTTCAAGTTCTTAAATCCTAGGTTCTTCTTCGCAGCGTTTTACTGTACTCAAACTTCACCGATCTTATTCAATTTCATTTATTCGGCCAGGAAAGAGAAGGAGACGTTTGTTATATTTTGAGTTTTGGACTACGTTAGTTCATGGGAATTTCGACGACTAATCCCATTTTGTCCGTGTGAATATTAATATATATTGACACACTCTATGTCTGGGCAGTCTGTGAAGGCAGGATAAATTTTGCTCCGTTGTGTTAATGCGAAAAAGCATTACGTTCTAATTCGCTTCCCTCAAACGAACGTAAATTATTTACCGCTTAAATAACCGCAAAAACCAGGCGAAGTCAGATATGGGTGGATCGCGTGCGAACCCTAACACTTTAATGAAAAGGAATCTTACAGCATAATGGTAAAGGAAAAACAGATAAGATATTTAAATATGAGCTAAATACCTAAATATTTCGTCACACTTAAACGATTACAATCTGTCTCTAACACGTACATGTCTTTCGCTTCGTCTGTTTTCCAGCGCCCATGAAGTTTTAACAACCTCTCAGAAAACGGCTCATATTGGAAGCGTTATTACTAATAGCAGCTGTAGCATCCCTGAACGCAGACTATGTAGACCATATTCCTTGGGGTCATAGCCCAAATCTTTCAAAGTAGTCTTAAATATTTTGAAATTTCCCTGCAGCGAGTATAGGATAACTTGCCATTCCTAAGAGTATAACCCGACTTGTTCTTCG